ACAACTTCAATTTTCTTATTATATTTTTCAGTACTTTCATTCAATTTTCTTTTCACACGATCAATATCTTCTGGTTTTGCACCCACTTTTATTTTCAGTCTTCTTTCTTCAGCTTTCCAAGTTTCTTGTTCTTTTTTACGGTCTTCACGTAGTTTCTGTATTTCTTTGCGTAGTTCTTGGCTTGTTTTTGGTTTTATAAAGAAATTGGTTGAAGGTCTACGATATCTGGTTTCTATATTATAAATTCAAATCAACCAATCAAAATGCAATTAGTAAGATGTTTTTTATTTATTATTATTTAGTAAAAAATAGTTGATATATTTACGTGATGATTCTGGTGGTGTGTATGGTGGTGGTGGAAATTCAGGTACTGGTTGATTAAGACTATCTTTTAAATAAAATGATATTTATAAATATTGTTATTATGATTATTATTGTGACTATTATCATTACTAATTAATTTGCTTTATTTACCTGAACTAATGTCATTGATGATAGATCTAGAGTTTTGATTTGTATTTATTGGTTGTAATGTAGTAGTGCTAATTGAAAATGATGATGAAGCAGCAGTAGTAACATTAGTATCAGTTGTACTGGTTGCACTTGAAGTATTAATCACGTTGTTGTGGTTGTTGTTGTTAATATCATTATTGTTATTGCTATTATTATGATTAGTATTATGATTAGTGCTATTATTGGTGCTACTATTATTGCTATGATTAGTGCTATGATTAATGTTACGATTAGTGTTATGATTGTTATTATTGGTTATTAGTCCAGGTACAAATAATGGTATTGGTGTTGGTGTTCGTAAAGGCAGTTGTGGCGGCAGCAGTGGTGATAGTTTTGAAGAAGAAGAAGAAGAAGATGAAGATGAAAATGTTGATGATGATGAAGTAGGTGGTGCAGCAGGCGATTCTATTGGTATCGCAAAACTTATTGTTTTAGCATTTGTTCCACTCATACTTTTCTTTTGCTGTTGATTATTATTTTGCAGAATGCTATTTTGCCAACTACTATTTTGCCGACTGTTATTTTGTAGAATGCTATTTTGGTGAATGCTATTTTGCCAATTGTTATTTTGCTGAATGTTATTATGCTGAATGTTGTTTTGCTGAATGTTATGTGATGATGACGATGAATGATTAATAATAGATAAAGATGATAAAAGTGAATGCTTATTACTCCTTTTATTTGATGATGGCAAAGAAGATTGTGAAACCATAGAAATTGGTCTTTGACTATTTCTATAAATAGAACCACTGGATGATATCCTTTTTCTACTTCTTTGAGATGGTTGTCGTAAAGGTTGCTGTAGCGTAGTAGAAGTTGTTTCACCAATTGATAATGTCATGTCATTATTATCATTATCATTATCATTATCATTTTCATTATCATTATCATTATCATTATCATTATCATTATCATTATCATCATCATCATCATCTTCTTCTTCTAAGAATGATGTTAATGATGATGATGGCGAAGATTCAAAAGGTGTTGGTAAATTTTCTTCTACATTTTCATTTTCATTTTCAACAATATTATTATCATCATTATTGTTGTCCTGGAAATTGAAATTTGTTAATGAACTTGATTTTCTTAATATATTTTTATTTGGTAAAAATGATTCATTATCATCATCATTATTATTAGTAGAAGGATTAGAGGAATTAAAGTTGGGAAAATTTGTAATTGTTCTTTGATGATAATCCGAGACATTATCATTATTATTGGTTATTGATGATAATTGTTTTTGTTTTTGTTGCTGTTGCTGTTGCTGTTGCTGTTGTTGTTGTTGTTGTTGTTGCGTGGTGGTGATATTATTACTAGCATGATTGTTAACGATATTGGTAGCATTACTGCTACTATTGTTATTACTAACTAAACTAATGCTGCTGTTATTATTACTATGATTAATGATAATATTTCCACCAGTAAATACATCAAACAACCTAGCTCTTATCATTTTAAATTCATCATCAGATATAAGAGATTTCTCAAGCGCATTATTTAATTCTATTAAGCGTTCTGTCAAAGAAAAGTTCATTTTTT